ATCTGATTTTTCTTGAAACCGTTTAAAAAGAAAATATTTTTTGCTCGATTAAGGCTCGAAATACTTTGTAAAATTGTTTTAAAATAGTTTAAGTATAAAACACAATTTTACACTTTAGTAAGGATTAAAATGAACTTTGAAAGACTTTGAGTAATATTTTGATATTCGAATAATTACATCGAATATACTTAGAAAATCTTTTGTAAAATCTTAAAATTCATTTAACTTAATTTGTTATATCGAGACATCAAAATGTTTTCAATAAATTTTTATTTATAAAATTATAAAAAAAATATTTTAATAATAAATAAATTATTTTAATATTTTAAAAATATCAATATTAAGTTTTATGATAAATAATATTATTTATTGTATTTAATATTTGTAATAAATAATTTTTAAAAAATTCATTAACTAGTGTAAAAAGGGTTTAAACAACATCTTTCAAAAATCGTAAAACGTTTTCCAGAAATTTTTTTTTCAAAAAATGTAATTTATTTTACAGAAAATATTTTCCGGAAAACGTTTTCAGTAAAACAAACATACCCTTATTCATCCCACACTCAATCTAAATTCTTAACTATAAATTTGATCTCGACTTCGCTTAACGCAAAATTTAAGTCTTCACTTATTTTCCTCAAAATAAATTTAAAATATATTAATTTATTCAATTTAGTAATATACAATCAAAGTAAAATTTTAATTTAATGTCACAGTTCTAATATTTTATATACTATTATTATATCTATTTTATCAAATCTAACTAATAATATATATATGGGTATATTTTCTTTCTTTTTAATATTTTTTACATCAAAGAGAGGGAAAAGAGAATTTTAATCTTAATGGATATCTATAACATAATAATATATTTTCTTAATTCTCTTAGGTCAGGTTAGGGATGAATATTTTAAGATGAAAAAGTTTAATTTAATGTGACATAATATAATATTTAAGAATAATTATAATAATATTATTTTCTATTTTATTTTTCAACTACGTCTTTACTTTACCTAATATATATATTTCTTTATCAAGTATCCATCGTGTATATCTCAATAACATATGACATGTACAGAAATAATAATATATGATCTGCACAGAGATAAAGAGATATAAGTTTTAGCTCAAATTAACAAAAGCAATAAAGGAGATCAAATGTACAAATAGAAAATATATTCATCAACCAATGCCAAAATTCTTATTATTGGTATTGTCTATTTTCAATTCTGCAGTTCATAGTTTATATACCTTTTTTTGATTTCTTAGACTACCATCTACAAATAAATACTTGTGCCTCTGGTATAAACATATTTTTTGTAATTATCACAAATAATAACATAGGACAGTCTTCAAAATACTTTATCTGCACCGACTGAATCTTCTCAAGAATTTTCATCTATGCTATCTCCATACAATAGATGTTAGTATAGAAAACATAAAAATCAATACACCAGAAAAAAATCATATATATAAATTCTAACTCAGAAAATGCAGAATTAAAAAAATGCATGGTTACCGAGGTTGAAACTATTAGTACAACCTTATACACATTTGTAACGAAGGTTCCAATTCTATATTCATTTTTGGTCTACATTATAGAGAATGCAATTTAAAAAGATTATCTGAGATGGCAAAATATGACAATCTTTAAAATTCTTCATTTACAACTACAAAAGTCTCCCAAAATATCGATTTGCATTACCTCTACAAAATATCACTACTGCAAAACTGTTCTACAGCGGCGTTTTGAGAGTAAACACCACTAACTTTAAACATATAGCGGTGTTTCCATTCAAAACACCGCAAAATGGTAAATTTAAATATAGTGACGTTTTTTCAACAAATGCCGCAACAGAGAGTACTTTAGCGGCATTTGTATAAAAATGCCGTAATATGGTTCGTATATAGTGGTTTTTTTACAACAAACGCTGCAACAGAGTAGTACTTTAGTGGCGTTTTTAACAAACGCCACAATAGAGTTGTATAGCATCATTTATAGCGGCTTTTTTTGATCAAATGTCGCAAAAATACTCTTACTTTAGTGGCGTTTATATACAAATGCCACGAAAGACTCAGACATTTCAAGGTAATAATCTCTAAATCTTTCCGCCGCTATATTTTTATTTTGTACTCTCAAATTTCATAGATCATACGCAGGATGTTCGAAGCTCATTGAGAATGATGATAGAGGAGTGGATAAACACCCGATGTTTAGAACCGAATTGGGAAAAATCTGTGGCGTTGAAAAAATCTTCAATTGCAACAACATTATCTATCCTCGATGAAGACGACATTGCCTCTACTATTAATCCAAGTAAACTCTTCTCTCTTTTACTTTATTTTTTTTTTTGTTTAATGTTTGATTGAGTTCCCAGTCCACCTCCAATCAAGTTTTATACTGTAGGTGGAATGTCGTTATCTGTTTCAAGTGAAACACTGAAGCGCTCAAGAATTCTTCTTGATGAACTAGAGCTAAGGGATTTATTTGGTGAAATTAATGAAGAGCTTCTCCATATACAATTTACATGGAGGAAAAACTTAACGATGCTTCATCAAACAAAGAAAACTGTTTTTTTACTTCCTTTCCCCACGAAGGAGCAATGAAGACTAAATTCTAATGAACAATATTTTTTTTAATTGAAAGTGAAAGAACCTAGACTAAATTCTAGAGAACAATGTCAAACTGCATTACATTTAATTTGAATGTTTATAAATTTTAATTTATTTTAAAAGCTATAACAATGAATACACCAAGGAAAAAATATAATATAAAGTAAAACAATAGATTATAATTTACCGGTGCGCACAAAAATCAACTATCAAATTAAGCAATGAGAGAGTCACACAAGGAAATATCGAATGGGAAGCTCCACCGAATGCATGAGTTAAAATCAACACGGATGGAGCGAGAGACCTATGGAGTGGTTATGCATCTTGCGGAGGAGCCATCAGAAACAACGAAGGCGGATGGATAGTAGGTTTCACCAAAGTTGTGGGGATTTTTTCGACAGTTGAAGCCGAGCTATGGGGAGTGTTCGAATGTCTGTCTCAAGCCGGGAAAATAGGAGCAAGACATGTTATCATGGACATAGACAGCGCCGAGACATTTAACATGCTGGCCCGGAAAACACAAGGTTTGACAAACCCAATTATACTACTTCACATATGGGAGCTGATGAACAAAAATTGGGTGGCGTCACTCTTACTGCTGAAACGAGATGCGAACAGACTAGCTGATAGATAGCATGGCCAAATTGGTGCAGCGTGAAGATTTTGCTGGCAGAACATACCAGACCCCCCCCGGATGAGATCAGATCGATTCTCCAAGAGGATAGGAGCACGTTAGGCTTAGATTCATGTTAGCTTAGTTTCATACGTTTTTACCCAAAAAAATATTAGCTATTCACATAATTTAATTTACATAAATAAAATAAATATATATTACATATTTTTAATTTTAATTCTAAATTTATATCAACTTTTTATGTTAGTATAAATTATTTTAAAATTTATATAATAATTCAAGTAATAATTATGATTTTCATTTAGGTTACTACTATGCACTAGATATAACCAATGGTGAATTTAAAAATATTGGTTAGAACAATTTAAATATAATAAAAGAGTTGTTTAATATTATATATATAGTAATTTAAAAATATAATAATATATATTTAAAAAATATATCAACTAGACAATTATAACTTTTTAATATAATTTATATATATATATATATATTGAATTATATTCTATTTTTTGTTGGCATAAATGAATCATCACCTGGTTCATTTCCATTATTGAAGAGTGAGACATCACATCTATAATGAGTTAGGTAATTACTATTACATTAATCATTCAATAATCTCATCTTATGTACAAAACAATGTCTTTCTAGGGTTGTAAATGAGATGAGACAGATCGCGAGCTACTCAAGATCGACTCGATCAAGGCTCGATAAATACTCAGATTGAATGGACTCGACTCGAGCTTGAGCTCGACTCGAATTCTTAACGAGTCGAAACGAGCTACTTGATACTCAACTCGAAAAGCTCGTGAGCAGCTCGAAAATATAATATATTAAGATTTTATTTTTTAAAAATAAATTATTAATAATATTAACATTTATGTGTTGATTTTTTAAAAAAAATACAGTAAGACTTTCATGTATTTAAGGTTTAGGTTTGAGTTTAAGGTTGAGGCTTCAATCTAGTTAAGTTTAAGATTTTTTTTTTCATTTCGAGTCTTTTCGAGCTGCTCACGAGCTTCAATTTAGGATTTCGAGTTCGAGTCGAGCTTAAAAATTTTAAGCTCGCGAGTTTTCGAGTCTAATCGAACTACATTTCAAAGTTTTCGAGTTGAGTCCAGCTCAGCGATACTCGAGCTCGATTCGGCTCGTTTACACCCCTAGTCTTTCCATTGCTGAACCACCACATTATTGATTTGGGTGTTCCTTCCATTTTTAATTATTTTGTCAAATCAAAAGCGGTGGGATTTATTATTATTATTATTATTTTATTTTCTACGATAAACTATTTTTTTTATATAATAATAAAACTAATCTTTAATAGTTTATTAATTTTTAAATTTTGTTTATAGTTTCTTTCAATGTCAATTTTAAGGTTTTAAAAAATATTAATCATATTTTTTGTAAATGCTCAATTAGTGATAATGATGTAAAATAACAACTCATTACACCAATCATCGTTGACTTAAATTTTATTAATATACCATTATTTTGTTATTTACAATTTATAAAATATGTAAAATTTATTAAAATTCATAAAAATATATTTAAAAAATTCAAACAAAATATATTGAAAAAATAATTATCTTTTACATATTTTTAAGGTGTTTGTGAACGTCGTGCCTAACGCAAACTTTAACAAAGTCAAATGTATACTTAAAAAGGAAGTAAAGCAAAACAATGAACTCTTCACCAAACTCAAGTAATATATATTATGAAATTAAATGCAAGAATTTAAATCGGATGGTTACGTATCAGGTTTCTTCAAGTTGAGCTTTACGCCTCAATCTACAAGAGTGTAATGGCAACGGCAATCAGTGTGCTACTTGTGGCTTCCTTGCTCGGTTCATCCTATGCTTGTCATTTTCCAGCAGTTTACACCTTGGGGGATTCGAACTCTGATACAGGAAGTGACTCCGCGACATTCGGCCGGATTCCACCCCCTTACGGAGAGACCTTTTTCCGTAAACCGGCTGGTCGATATTCTGATGGGCGCCTGATCATCGATTTTATCGGTAAGGGTCTTTTTTGTTACGTCACACTTCTGGTTCATTTTACATGCATCCATGTATGAGCTGATACCTGCAAATTTGTGCAGCTAATGAGTTGAAACTGCCATCATTCTTGAGTGCATACCTTGATGCGGTCGATTCGAACTTCAGACACGGAGCGAGTTTTGCTGTATACGGATCAACGATTCAACCAGCCGTTGGCAAACTAATCGATGCAGGTTTTAACCCTGTATCTCTCGATGTACAGCTGCTGCAGTTTCAACAATTTAAAGAACGTGCCAGTGAGCTTTATGATCAAGGTTATATACCAGTTTCTGGTGTAAAGATTTATTATTATTTCATTCATTTATGGCAATGACTACTATTGTCTTCCTTGTATTTCAGGCAGGAATACATATAGGCTCCCCAAACCGGAGGAGTTTTCAAAGGCCCTTTACATGTTAGATATTGGGCAGAATGATCTCACTTATGCCGTTGTAACGACTTCCATCGAGCAAATTAAGGAATCCATTCCCAATCTGATCAACCAGTTTGCAGCTGCAATAGAGGTATTTTTTTTATATCTGTTTCGATTTAGCTGAAATTGAGTTGAAAATACAAAATTCAGTGATATACATTTTGCTGTCTCCCCATTGTTCTGTATATTCAGAAGCTATTTCAACAAGGAGCAAGATTCTTTTGGATACATAATACCGGTCCCCTCGGCTGCTTGCCGGTTTCCGTTCTACTTGGCCGTCCAAAACCCGGGAATATCGATCAAGCCGGCTGCGTCAAGTCTCAGAATGAGTTGTCTCAAGAATTCAACAAGCAGCTTAAAGACAGGGTGTCTCAACTCAGGGACAAGCTCCATGGTGCAAGGCTGATATATGTGGATATCTACTCGGCTAAATACACTCTAATCAATGAAGCACATAAATATGGTATGTTTAAAACCATTTTCAATCGTCTATATCAGAGAATTTCCATTGATGATGACCATATTCGATTCGGGGTTGCAGGCTTTGTTGATCCTTTAATAAACTGTTGCGGGCACTTCGGCGATTATACCGTCCAATGCGGGAAGACGGCAGTGGTGAATGGTACTGAACATTTCGGGGCAGCTTGCAGTGATCCTTCTAAACGTATTAGTTGGGATGGCACTCATTATACAGATGCTGCAAACTATTGGGTAGCCAAGAGGATCATGGGTGGCTCTTTCTCGGATCCCCCGGTTCCTATTACCGATGTTTGTTTATAAGCTCGCATACTGTGTCATGTAGGACCAAAATATTGAGCTCAATTACGCTCCAACATTCAATAAAAAATTAGCTTGATTCTAATGTTTAATTTTAAACTCGAATTACCATAAAAAATTAAACTCAAATTTAAATTGGCTCATCCATAGATCAAGTTCGACTGAATGATGAATAATCAGGAATTCATATAGATTCCTTTGAAATGTTTTACCGACGGTCTGGCATATTGTTCTTTGGGTTAAGGAGTCTGCTAAAGTTACTGGGACTTCATTCATTTATTTGCGTGCTGTTATCATGTTGTTAGTTCAGTTGAACAGTTGTAAACTGCTGCAGCTAAGTTTTAGCTGCTAAGTCATTGTACTATATAAACTGCTTTTTCAAGGTTAATAAGATACATGAGCATTATCCATCAGTTACTACTTTCGTATTCATTGTTAGAATACTCAACATGGTATCAATCGTCAGAAGGTCCTAACGGGTTTCTTTTTCTTTTTTGGCTTCATGCTTCAAGGTCATTGACAAGTGTCGTATTTCTGTCAAAATAATTTCGACTTCTCAAAAATAAATAAATGAAAAGAGAAAGTAGTGAAGGGTCGGTCCACAGGGACTCTGCAATTTCTGATGAAGTGAACTTTCTGATTTTGGATAAGGACGAGATAAGGTAGAAATTTGGATGAAGATGAGATTAAATAAGGGTTATTAAAAGATAATGATAAAATAAATAAATAAATAAATTTAAAGTGTTTGAGATAAAGAAAAACTTATAGTGAAATTAGTCTCAGACTTCAGCTTTTGCCTCAATTTTAGTTGATCATCGGAATAAAAATTTTGCTTCTGTAATTTGTCGGTTACATTCTACATGATCCAACTCCTATAACTTATTTCTCTCTCTAGTGAACCAATAATCCAACATCTATTTTTTGATATCAGTCATTTATGGAGACTAACTACGACTAACGTTATCAGCACCAACATGTTTTATAGAGATGGAGAAACCTGACTTGGACTATGTTGCCTCAATGAGAATCGATCCCGATCTCAATTTCCCTTAGCAGACTGCCGCTAAGTTTGTTCACAGGAAGTCAAACTTGCTATCAGCCGATTCTTCCTCCCAACTATAAATCATAACAACTTCCAAACCAACGTCGACTTTTTTTTATTAAAAAATATTTTGATTTTAAAAAGATAGGTCGATTACCTATCTTATTCCTCCAGAAAATTGAGAAATAACTCGAAATTATATTAGTGCTTTTCAATCCTCACAATAGGGATTGAGTCATTGTTTGAGCCATTGGCTATGGAGAAATTAGTTAAGTATGACAATCATACTTAGCATTTAAAAAAAATTAAAACAAAGAAAAACTTTGGAAAAGAAAATAAAACTTTTTCAAATAAAACTTTTATAAAACTAGAGGGAATAAGAAGAATGAATTATGAATGTGTTTTTAGGCTTACCCTGAGAGGGTATTTATAGTCTTCAAAAATCCTAAAAACAACGAAAATATAATTCCTAAAAATAAGAGATAATTCCTATAGATAATTCTTAAAATATTTAAACTAAAATCATAAAAACATGAGTTTAACTTGAATTCGAATTGCAAAAACGCGGAAGACTCATTCATCATTCTAAAAGCGTTAATTGGACCTTCTGGAAGGTGTTGACTCATCGCCTCGTCATGTGCGTCATGCCCAGAGTCATGCCTACTAATTCAGCTTTGATTCCGAAAATAAAAAAAACTGAATAATTCTATCCTTTTAATGCATTTCATAATCTAGTGTCTTGCACATAAAATGAATCAAAATGAACAAATCAACCACAAAAACTAACAAGGAGCAATTTAAAGGCAAAATAATAACTAAATAAAACACCTATCATATTTTCCCTCAGTTATTCAATGTTTGTCCTCAAGCATTCCTCAATTAACACATCAAAATCACAAGTTGTCATCTTCAATTTCAATTTATTCCTTAAACTTCCAATCGAACTAAATCCATGACAATTGTCGAATTCAAGGTACAATCAAACAAAGACACAACTAAGAAAAATTTAAGCAAGCAATATATCCCAATTATTTGCCAACATCAATAAAACATAACTCAATACCTCACAAAGATTCACACATATCCGTTCAAAGTGTTTAGGGTAAAATGAAATCACTCAAACTGTAACTAACCAAGATATTATCATAGGCTTGGAATACAATCAAATCTCCACTACTAAAAGTGAACATAATGAAATAATCAAGAGATCTTTAAATCAAGGTGTAATGGGACTTAGGTTAGGATAGAGAAAAAGTCATGATAATCGGTTTAAGTACAAAGACAAGAGATTTACAAATAGTTCTTAATCTTCATAAAATAAAAGTAAACATATAAAAACATAAACATAAACATTTTTTTTCTTTTCAATCTTTTTCTGTTTTTAGTTTTTTTTTTAATTTTTGGTTTCCCTCTTGTTGTTTTTTGCATTGTACTGTTGTTCGAACTATTTTTTTATTTTAATTTTACTAATCAAACCACTTAACTATTGAAAATAATATCAATTAAGCCACCGATCTTCTAATTCTCCGTTAAATGTTAACAGTTAGTGACTTGATTGACACTATTTAAATATTAAGTAATCTGATAGATAAAATGCAAAGATAAGTGGTCAAATTAAAATATGACCATAGTTAAGTGGTCATGGGTGTAGTTTACCCTTTAATTAACAGTGGCAGTCGTTTGGAGTAATGGTTGAACTTGAAGTTGATTGGGTGAAGACAGCGACAATGCACCCGTTACGAGTCAGGTGAATGCACTCGTGTCGGATCTCTCATTACTATTACTATTATACTATTAATCTAAGATGTGAGCTTACCTTATGGTTTTATGTAGAGGACGGCACACGTTGACCGCTATGCGATAATCATCAACCTATTTGATAGATGTCCTGAAAGAGAATTAGCATGGAAGTGACTAGACCCAGTGTTGGTACTGGTATCAGTGGGAGATGACATACTGCTTGGGCTTCAAAAAACAGCGTTAAAACTTTTAAATAGCAGCCTTCTTTGCCGTAGCATTCTCTCTTTTCTTGCTTAGTGGAAGGCAAAGGGATCTTGGTCAATCCGGGAGTTGTTATTTTCCTGCCGTATTCAACTTCGGTGATTCCACTTCTGACACGGGTGGAAAGTCCGCTGCGTTCCACCGTATTCCTTTGCCTAATGGAAATATTTTCTTCCGAAAGCCATCTGGGAGATATTGCAAGGGCAAAGTAATTATTGATTTCATTGGTCTGTGAGTCTTTTCTTTCTTGTTTTGATTCCTTAGATATTCATGAACTTGTATGATCTTTTAGATGCATCTTATGAAAGACTTATCTGTTTGCCGCGGATCATTTGTTTTATTTTTAATTCACTGGCTTTTCACATCTATCCCCGAGAGGTTAAAACTTGGGACTTTCAATCCATCGAGGTTAAGCTTAAAGTTGGGATTTTTTTTATCATTTCTTAAGTTTCAATTATGGTTATGTTTTAGGGATTAAGGTGAAATTTCATCCATACTATAAGTCAACTTCGCATGTAGCGAAACATTTCATGTTAATCCTGTTCTATAAGTGATCTGCTGACTGCTGAGTTGCTTACAATCTCTACTTTATAAGATCAATTTTGATTACTCGGTTCCTAAAGACAATCTTGTGTTTAGGATGAACTTTGAACTAATCACTTAAATGGTCCGTTTGTTCAAGTTTTCAGACTGGATGTTGATCTTCTTTGTGGTAAAATCATAAGAATGCAGTTTGTTTATCTCTTGTACTGAACTCAGTTATTGTACCCTGCAGCTGAGAATTTGGGACTGTCATATATGAGTGCTTATCTGGACTAGCTGGTACAAACTTCCGGCATGGAGCAAATTTTGCTACGGTAGGGCCTACAATTCAGCCGCTGGATGCGAGAATGTTTAAGATAGGGTATAGCCCCATTTCTCTTGACATACAACTTGCGCAATTTGAGCAGTTCAAAGAGCGACTAAATGAGCTTTATAAAGAAGGTTAGAAACAATTCAAGAATTAGGGGTAAAAAAGAACTGTAAATTCTAAACTAGAATAATACTCGAACATTTCGGATGGTTTTTGCTGATGTTCCTTTTCCTTTTTCTTTCTAGGTGTGGGTTCAAACATTAAGAGCAAGCTACCAAGACCAGAGAACTTCTCACAAGCACTTTACACATTTGATATTGGGCAAAATGATATCGATTGTGCATTTAAGTCGATGACAGAGAAACAGGTTATAGAATCAATTCCTGGAATTATCAACGAGTTTGCTCTCGCTGTTAAGGTAACTAGATGTTATGCTTACACAATATGTTTGTCTTGGTTTTCTTACAGTGGTAGGAGATTGACGTGATTTTGTAAAATCCGTTATCTATGATTCTTCTATATGATATACTCCAAGCATGAAGCTTGCTTTAAAGCATATTTAGACACTTTGATGCTTTGAACATATATCTTTTTCTTTTGTTATTTCCCTAGGCAGAGCTTGTTAAGGGCTTTGTTTATTTGTTGTTGTTGTTGTTGGGGAAACCGGGTAGTTTCAAAATTGATCTGAAATGTCAAGATCAAAACCACCAAAGGTTGCACAGCGGACAAACCCATCAAACTATTGAATATTGAAACACAATGGAAAAACCGAATAAAGAACAATAAAGGAGAGAACACACCCAAATTTACGAGGTTCAACGAGAATATCGTCTACTCCTCGGGAACCACACCGGATAATAACTTCACTATCAACAAATATTACAACAAATGGAATTCTTTAGAATTCCCAAAGTGAGAGAATGAAGAAAACAAGAGGAAGAGAGAACTTGTTTTGAGATTATTTCTAATGAAATACTTAGACCTATTTATAGTTGAGTTTTAAGGACTAAACTTATAAATAACCTAATATTTTAGGAACCAAAGATGAAATTCTCATGTGCAAAGTTGACCACCTACCAAAGATGAATTTTCTCATGTGTACAAGTTAGCCACCAACCAACTTGTCAACTTTGCTAACTTGCCAAATTTGACAATTTGCAAGCCAAACATAACAAATCTCCACATTGGCTTGA